ACCAATATACATGTACTGAATTTTCATGCGAATTAAATTCATGCACTCAATTTCCATACAAAATAAAATCTTGATCATACAAGACATATATCTATATTCCTTTTCCTAAAATTGTTTTTCTAACTTTCTAATACATGTCCTTTACCAGTCACCGTACTGTTACACTCTCTGTGATATGTATAAGAAAATAATGAAAATGCTAGATGTCTTAAAGGCACATAAGTTTATTTAACTATTCCTTCCTAAATGAATCTGGCGTGGAAAAGACACTTTATAAGCCTCTATGTATGTCATGCAGTGAAAAGAGTTTTGTTAGCCTCCCTTGCTTGCTGAAATGTCAGTAAGAAATGCTAGGGTATTGGCTTCGGAATACTGATATAGAGCACGGTGGTTTATGGCAACAAATGATGTGAAATCTGCTATTGCATTTCAGCATTCAAACGGAATGTAAAATTTTCTGCATAATGGCAAAATCCTGCAAGGAAACAAAACAAAGGAGTTTATTCGAGTACTCGGACAGGTTAAAAAAACTACATAACACGACAAACGAGCTCATCCGAGTATTCGGACAAGTTTTTCAGGTCACATAATTTTTCTAAGATTATATATGCCTGTTTGCTGATGGGTTTAGCCATCCCTTCTATCTTGTCTATTGTCGTCTAGGTACATCGTCGTCTCCACAAGCCATGCTAATTATTTCCGAGGTATAATTTCGTAGGTTATTTCGAAAGTGAATTTTATTATGTCCAAGAATAAGTTAAATTGCGCAACATACTTGTCATTAAATCTAAATGTTACGGATATGACTATTAGTGATTTCCTGCAACTTGCTGTTTGCATATAACATATACTAGTAACTAGGTCAGTGGTGAAGAAGTTCGTACGTTGTTTGATTAGATTCTAGGTCTTATAGAGTCGAGGTTGGATAAGATGCATCAACATATCAAAGGACAAAATTAATTCTAAATATGTTAGAGCTTTTACATCTACACGATCTCCTAGTAAAAGTCATTCACATTAATGAACTGTGCATTTACATCCTTTATAACAATTCTTACCTGTGGCACAGCGAAGAGTAAGGATTGCGCAATGTAAAACTGTCGTTGTGTTTTGTCATGTTTCCAGAGGTGAACTACATTGCCTGGGGATATAAAATAGCTAATATTTCACTTTCTTGTATAGAAGTTTCTTTTTATGAACAGACAATGTGTATTGGATGCTTTTAATGTTCTTTTGTTATATACCTGTTATAGTCTTCTCGTAATTTCCTTCTACATTTCCAACGAAGAAATTCCCCTGGGTAGTGGTGATTTGGTCATATTTATGAATATTCAAAAACAAATCATGCGTGACAGGACAGAAAATGGCTGTACCACTATCTTTCCAGTTTGTTGTGGAGAAAACACCACTGTTTCGACTGATTGGGATAAAATGCTTCCCTAAAAATTAAAAAAAAAATCATCAGTAACGTACATGTAATATCATCCAGGCACGTATTATCGGGCACTTTTTTTCAAACTTGAATTTATACTATTGATAATGTTCATTGAAAGGCGAGTTGACCCCTGCTTTTTGTTGTAGAGTACTAGAATACTCGTAGTTAAATTGTGTTAGATGATTACTTGTGTTTAATAAAATTTGGTTCTTATAGGAAGTTTCCAACCCCAGGCCCTCCATTGTTTTCTGACTGCCCCTTTTAAAAATGATACCATATGCCTGGTATCAGATTTATCGGGAAAAAAAAACAAGCATCTTGAAAAATAAACTTTGTTTTTGCCTTTTATTTTTATATCTTAGTGAATTAAATTTACAATGCGATTCCAGTGTTTATAAGCTCCACATTGAATACCGGGTTATGTACATGTAAATTTATCTTGTCAATCAAAGTGATACTTGGGGGTGGGGGTGGGGCAAAGAATATAAGTGAACAGGTACTTACTGTATAAGGAAGTTGTTTCCGAGGGCTGTTCTGTGTATTCGTCTTCTACCCTTCTTCTTTTCAGGTTATGAACAGTGCCACAGTCCATAAGAGGTGTATTATTGTTATCCAAGATGTCGACAGTTTCTAAACTCATGATCTGTCCCAAGAAAAAATATCCTACTTTTTGAGTATTAGAGTATTTATATTGTTTATTGCTTTTCATTGCTAGAAATGGAAGCATTATTGATGCATTTTCTGATAAAGTGAGCTCGAATGATAAATTAATTATAAATGAATCGTGCTTTATTCCATATAATAATGGTCGAAGTCATGCAAGTTGTAATTATTCCACAATAGGAATGAATGAAGCTTTTAGCATAGCATTGAACACTGCTAGACAGGCTTTGTTTTGGTTAGTAAGCACTTCTTAAATATCTTTTACTTGGAACCTCTATAACATTAAATTGCTGAATCAAGTTAAATAGTCCGCAGTAGAACATTGACTTTTTAATCCGAATGGACCACCATATCAAATTTTAAATGTATGTCGTTTAAAAAAGGTTTCCATTTAGATAAAAAATATCATATTCCTTTCGTATCATTTGTATTGTTTAAAACTGTTTAACATTTATAACTTCAGACTGTTGTAAATTATGCATTCTTCTGAAAACATTCCCTACCTCAGGTTTTTGGCGCCATTAACATGCTTAACATTTAAAAGGTGAAGTGAATCATTCTAAAGAATATTGAGTATGTCCACATCTGTATCTTGAACTTCTCTACGTACAATGATACATACAAAACCTACCTTTGTAATCTATCCAAATTTCTGGCACCGTGATTTTTTTTTCATCAAAACAATGTCATCGTATCACTTATCACGAATTGACCTACTTTCCATACTCCAAATTCACCTGAAATAATTGAACCTGTTTACCAACAACTAGCAAGCAGCGATAATGTCATGATGACAGTGCGGTAACAGATTTATAACGTGAGAACTAACTAGGCGGTGTAATCCCTTTCTTGAGAACGTTACCTTTGTTTACATATGGAAGTCCACTTGGGTCTTGTCTCTCGTGAAAGTTATTAGTTTGAAATAATATTAATGAAGTTTGAAGACTTCCATCTTATGAATTTTTTGATGTTAAAGTAAATGAGAACAACGCCTTGAGTGTTTATGAATACTGGTTATTAGGTAGATTCCTTATTCTTCATAATTTTGGTTAAAATAGACACGGAATAGGGTGTTTCAAAAGGGGAGGGGGTTCTAAAAACAAATTTTGACAAGCCAACCCCCACCCCCCAAAATAAATCCATCGAAAATCTTTTTTCGCGGGATGAAGTGGATTTTTTTTCTAATGGTTCGATTACATTTTTATTTTTTTTTTTTATTTCTCCAAATGCTGGAGCCAGTGTTCGACCTAATTAAGTTCCTGGTTGTACCTGTGCATGCTGTCACAATTACTTAGTAAGAGCGGAAGAACGAGTCAAATTCTCATAGCACCAGATACAGGCACTTGTTTCGGAAATAATTTTTTTAACCCATAGCATAATAGTAACACAAGGTATATTTATAACTCCGAATTACATTCAGTACCCCCTCATCAGAAAACGCCTCCTCCAGTTTCACCGATTCTGTCAAAAAATTAAATATAGGAAATCAACGGTTACAGCCTTACAGAGCATATCTCAAAGGATGTTTCCCTTAAATCAGGCAAAGCTTCAGATTAAACTAATAATCTAATTATGTGCATCTCTAAGTGCATCATTCATGCACGTTTGGTTGCCATAGTTCTTAACGTTACTTGAGAATGGAGTTATTCTAAAAAAAATATTCTGGTCATTCATCAGGATACTAATTATGTTCCCCAAACGAAGTTGGGGAACATATTGTTTTTACTCTGTTTCTTATTATTATTATTCTTATTAAGGTCTTCCGACTTCCTTCGGAAGACCTTATTGTTATTCGTCTGTTTTTTATTATTATTATTATTATTATTATTTTTCTTTTTTCATAGTTAGGGCGATATCTCAGCTGTGCGTGGACGGATTAAGAAGATTTTTACAGGGATGATGCATCATGAGAATATCTCCAGACGTGTTTTTCATTTTTTCAAAATTCACTTTCGTTCGCGATTTTGGGGGATTTTTGTATTTTTTAAAAGGCATTTTGTCCAGCAGTTTTCTCGAGAACGGCTAAAGATATGAAAGTGAAACTTACTGAGGTGATAGAACATCGAACTCCATTATGGGGAACGACCTTTATTTTTCGTCGTCGGCACTTCCGGTCGCAAACGGAAGTGAATTCAAAAAGTCCCATTTCTCAACTTTTTAGTTTTTCAATATTTTTCTTTAGAATTTACAGGGTTGATAGAGTGTCTTATGAGAATTCTAAATATGTGTTCAGAATCTTGATGCGTGCATATATTGAAAAGATATGACCGAACCAAACTTTGTCCCACTGTCGGGGGTTCGAATCCCGCTGTGGGCGTTGAAATTTTTTTTCTTTGTTTATGTCTTTTTTGAGTTGCAAATGACTTTTATCTCTTTTATATCACGAATGGAATATTTTGCGGATTTTTAAAAGCTACTTTTTGAAATTTTTGAGGAATACCTGTAATTATCATGACGTATGTTTAGAGACTGCTGTGAATAAACGTAAACAAAAAAATACATTCTCAAATCTATTTCATGGGATGATGTAGCATAGAACTCTAACGAAAAGTCGGTCGGAAGACCACTTGTTGCTCTAGCAACAAGAACGCATCTAGTTATTATTATTTTTCTTCCTGGGAAAATTTTGTCCGCGAGTGATCTTGTAAACTACACATTCGACTTAGGTGAAACCTTTTTAGGGTTAGTAGGCATGTTATGTAGATTTGCGGAATCAAGGTCATTTTGCGCGCACGTGCTTGCAAGAGCGCGCACGTGCAAAACTTGAAATGACTAATATATAATGGATATAACCGTAACTTTTCTATTTTTAGGCGAAATGTTTTGAAACTCATAATGTAAGGATATATGAGTAGTATGCACAAGATGACATGGTCAAAATAGCAAGATCGCACGTGCAAGCACGTGCGCTTCGCTCTGATTGGCTGAAACTAAAGTCTCAATATCTTTCTTGTTTTTTGATAAAATCATTTGAAATTTTGAACATAGTCATACATTAGGGAGATCTACAGCCCGTAATAAAAGAAATATCATGAAAGCATTTGCATGCACGTGTGCTTGCAAGCGCTCGCACGTGCAACACGAGAAATTTCCAATATAATTGATACAGACGTAACTATTTAAATTATTGATGATATGCTTTAAAACTCATATTAGAAGTATATATTAGAAGCATAGACAAGATGACATGGTCAAAAAAGCAAGATCTCACGCGCATGCACGTGTGCCTCGCTCTGATTGGCTGAAACTAAAGTCTCAATATATTTCTTGTTTTTTGACGAAATCCTTTGAAATTTTAAACATAGGCATGTATTAGGATATCCTACAATAAGATATATAGCAATTATCATGAAAACGCGTGCATACACGTGCGCTGCAATCTGATTGGCTTATGCTTTAAATAGCTATAACTCCCTTGGTTTTCAACCAAACAGGATGGGATTTGGAACATGGATAGATATAATGGACTTCTACAAGAAGATATGGTCAACATGCACATGCATACACGTGCATGTACGTGCGCTTCAATCTGATTGGCTGAAACTTTGAACAGCTATAACTACCTTGGTTTTCAACCAAACGAGGTGGTATTTAGAACATAGATAGATGTAATGGACTTCTACAAGAAAGTATGGTCGCCATGCTCATGTGAGCACGTGCGTGCACGTGAAATGAGTAAAATCAAAAATACACTTGAATTAGCGTATTTTTTAAATACTTTTGGATTAAATACTTTGATACTTAGTATATTAAAATATATAGATTGTATAGACAAGATTATATGGTCATTACGCACGTGCATTCACATGCGCACGCGTGCAATGCTTAAATTTGAATGAAATTGGTACACTTCTGGGTAAACGTTGTTAAAGTCTCAAATGCATAGAGTTTGTCTTATTTAATGAAGCTTATACGGAATATGGCACCAAAAGGGAGTTGGGGAGCGTTTGGGGAACATCTGTAACGGTCCCCGTTACAATTAGCACTAGTTAATGTAAGGTCAAATCCAATTGGAATTTGTAATCGAAAAGGTGGCGAGTTTTAGAAATATTGATGTCTCATATATTTTTTGTTGAATTTAAATAGATACTTTAAAGGATTATTTCCTATTCAGTTTTTTTTTAATCATAAAAAAATTCACAAAAATCATATATATTTTTTTTAATCAAGACTTAGTTAAAAAGTACCGAAAAGTTCAACTTCTATGTCGTTTGATAATTTTTACCAAAATTATGTGGAAAAGGTAAATTTTACCTTGAGAAAGGGTCTTTTTGCACGACATGGATGTAAGGGTTGGATAGTTGTATGCTGTTTTACGTCCCATTCTCCCATTCGAGAATTTTTCACTCGTATAGAGACGTCACCATATACTTTTGAGGAGCCCTTACTCGACACTCATGGCCATTGAGCAGTGAGATATTCTTATCGTGCCAACGCCAACCGTGACACGGGCTTCGGTATTCGCTGTCTCATCGATGCAATGGTTATTATGCCTTATGAAGCAAACCTTGTAGTGTGCATCCTTAAATGCACCATCCATGCGAAATCGGTTAACAAAGGGTTTCTAGTTATACTTGGAAATGGAACTTACTTCAAAAACTATATCCTGTTCACTTCAAAAATTGTGGAAAATAAACTTCAAATTCAGCATCCGAAGCAAGTCTAGTAGTGTAAATGTTTAGATTTATCATCTATAAGCAAGTTTTTGTTCTGGGAGGGCAAAGAGTTACTTGATAAATTATAGTTTAAAATATATTTTTTTTATTCATATAAAGAAATGGATTGAACAGCAGGCATAAATGCCTATGATCGTTCTCTCCATAGGTCAAGGTACAATTACAAGTACATGTAAACATTGAAAAATGTATGAAGAGTAGATTATAAATTGGTACATATTTGGAATTTATTCAGAGAGAGAGAGAGAGAGAGAGAGAGAGAAATGATAAGAAAAAAATATAATTTAACAAATAGATAGGAAAAATAATAATTATATAATAAATAAACAATAAAATATAATTGATAAATTAATGAAACTTGCTCCAGAAACATTAACCTGATCACTCATCTGAAAAATGTAGGTCAGATCTAGCCTCAAAAGAAAGTCTGGTAGTATACATACTTATATGTATCATACATGCAAGTTTGGTCAATAAAGGGCTTATATAGCTACCACTTTAAAAGGAGTCCTACTCCAAAAACTGTATACATGTTTTTGCCTACAGGTAAATGATTATCAGCAAAGAGAAAGTACACAAGTTGTATAATAAAATATTAAATCGGACAATTTTTTGCAGTTTAATGGATTCAAGAAAAAAAATCACTCTTGTCAATGTGTATTTGGACAAAAATATATTGTCTTTAATCAACAGTATGCAATTTCAACACTGACTCTGGAAAAATCTTTAGAAGGACATAAAAGAAGTGAAAGGTAAATAGATACTTATAACAAGAGAAACTGGGATACGCCAACATTTAAACCATTGCATATTCAAATGTAATACGGAGTGTGTATGGTCTTAAGAGTGCATTCGATTCCCGCCAAAAAAATTTAAAAAATACATTTAAAAAATTTAAAAATATAAAAAAAAATCTTGAGGGAATGAATTGAGTCCTGAGAGAGAGGGGTGCAAACAAACAGTGGACTCTCTTGGTCACACATACTTCATTTTGTATAAATATCTTCAGTTATATTTTCTTTCTGTAATAAACAGTGTTTATATCCCTACTTTCTGACTAAATTTCGGGTATATATTTTTTGTTCAAGCCCGTCCGTTACTCTTTCGCCTTCTTGAAATGTCTCTAAAAATTTTTATAAGCAGTAACCAATTTACCTTTTGGAATATGACAGGAGGTATTTAGCAGATTTACAGAAATG